AAAAACATTTTTAAAAGAACTTATCATAAAGTACATAATTCATTTTTGGTAATTAAGCTGATTACAAAGAACAAGTTTCCATGCAGAATTTTCTTCTTCTTAATTAACTAAAATGACCCTTCCATAATATGTATGACATTTTCAACCAGTCTTCTGCTAATTGATTAATATGTACAATGTATTTTTGCCATAACAGAGTACATGTATTATTCAGTATATGTTATAAGGAGCATTGATCTGATACCCAGTAGAGAACAAGGGCCATCATTCTAAGCATATGAGATGTTTTGGGCACTTGAGATTTTTGTGTTATGAGAACACAACCAGGTTAGCAATCATTTTACTCCAACACAATCACTTTTACAAGTGTCATAACTATGCATGCCTTTATATTATAATCCACTGTGACAATTTAGCAGAGATTATATTATAATTCTTGTTGGCTTGTGGGTAATATGTTCATAATATGCAGTGATCTCAGAGAGGCAGAGATCCATAGATACAATGGATGACATTAAGAATGAAGAATAAAGAGGACATATTTCTGAGAAATTTACAGAAGTGTGAAACAGGTCGTGCTATCCATGGTATTTGTAAATACTGGCATGTGGAATCATTCTTCCTTGAGGTCAATTTGCTCTTTTAAAATGAGCTAAAGCTCATGAAAGCTGTTTCTGGATGAAAAAATATATATTTTTATGAGAAAGCCTAACAGCACTTTATTCTAGGACAGACTGAAATGATGTGTGTGTGTGTGATTTGGGTGATGACTCTGTGATGATCTGAGGCTTATTCTAAATTCGGTTGCACCCATCTGCCTCCAGTGTAGGAGTGTGGGATCAACCTAGTGGATCAACACACAGCCTTGCAGCAGGCTTTCCTAGAAGATCAGTACAAGCTGCAGGAGGGCAGTTCACTGGTAACACTTTGGAGCCCTTGTGGAGGAAAGAGAATACACTTCAGAACCATGTGAGACTTGGGTTGAAATCCTAACCTTGCTACATCTTTCCTGAGGAGAAAATTAAACTGAGGATAACAACTTCTCTGAAAGTCATTTCCTCAATGGTAAAAAAAAAAAAAAAAAAAAAAAAGGCACTTATAACCACTCAGTAATATGCAATATATTTAAAGCCATATCATAACACCTTCTGGAAGTGGCAAATATTTGCTGCATTAGTGAATGAAGAAGAGAACTGAAACCCATCAAGAATGAGAATAATCCCTCTCGGGGAATACAGAGTAGACCTAAGAGCTGGATGCTCGCAACTTACTCTCTCAGGAAGTGGGATAGTAGGAGAGCTTCAGTTCGGAGGTCAGAACGTGGGCTGCTTGTGTTTGGATTCTCCCTCCACCTTTTTCCATTTGTGTAACATTGAGCAGATTGATTGATTTCTTAATCTCAGCTTTCTCATCTTTAAGTGGTATACAAATAACGTCTATTCTGTGGGATTGGTGATGGAAGTTAAATTGAATTAATGGGTGTAATAAAAATAAGCACTCAATAATATTAGCCATACATACTAGGATGTGCTCCTTCAGAGGAAGGCCAGGAAGCAATGGTTCAGAGCTTTGTAGCCAGAGAGGGTGATGTGGGACAGTATATGAATATTTAACCCTAAACTTTTCTTTGGATTGTACTTGGTACATTATCCCGTTGCCTTTTATGAGTTTGAAGTCCTCATTGTTTTAGTTTATATTGGCCCAACTTTGAAATTTATGTCTGTAAACTAATTTGCGTTAAAGATCTGAAACTTAGCATAAGATTCTTGCTGAATCATCTTCTTAATTTTGTTGTATGAATATAAGAGTAGAAAATACTAATTCCTGGGCAATCCCATTTTTTAAAATAGGTTTCATAGTGATTCACTTAACACCCCACCTAGAAATGTCACCAGGAAAGGATAACTGGTCAACCCAGTATAAATCAGGTCTTCAGTCTTATGGGTTGTTGTATGAAAATCTTAGCAACATTACCCCCAGGATTAAAGGATAAAAGTCAGAAAGGGAAAGCTAACTATGAGGCATCCAAAAACCTATGACAATTTGTAGACTAAAGCAATAATAGAATGGATCCGGACAATGGCGGCTTTCATTTTTATTTTTACTTTTAAGCTGTGTTGAGTGCTAGCAGAAGCTCAAAGGAGTGACACTTAGGGAAAGGAAAAACATCCCCCTAGCATGTCTTTAAAATCTATAATAATAATATAATAACACAAAGTGCATCTGGGCATTGCCTTCTACTGCGGCTCCTGTCTGGCTCTCCTCCAGAGCTTGTCAGGCTGCTCTTGAGTGCTGATGATTCATAGCCCAGCACCCTTTTATCTGAACGTGGCAGTGTCTTTTCTTTGTACTTTGGCAGTGATGTTACCTTGATGTTCAGAAATCTTTTAAAAGCAACACAGGCTTTGCTTGCATGTTGACAAATTGTTGTCTGCCGGTAATGAAGAAAAAGTAAACTTGGTTCTGTGATCATTGTAAATACACGGAAATAAACACTGTCCCTTTGTTTGTTTGTTTTTAAAAGTTGGTAGTATTTGGAGATCCTCTCACTGAAAAGTAATCTGGCCATCTCTCTTTATTCCCCTTGTGTGAATCAGCACGCTGCTTTCCAAACGCAGGGGTCAGCTGGAGTGTTTGCAAATCATTTGAAATTTGAGGAGAGATTTTGGATTTTAAACAAGGGAAACATGAGGTTATTTTGATTTCTGTTGTGTGCGCTTACTGATGTTGTTTCCAAGTTAATATTTTATTATTACCTATTTGAATATACTTTTATATATCCTGATCATAGTAACAGTGCGACACATTCACGTGGTGCTTTTCATATGCTTCCTCATCTCAGTCTTGAAGCAGCCATGTGAGGTTAGCAAGGCAGATTATTATTATTATTATTATTATTATTATTATCCCAAATTACATAAGAGGAAACGGAGGCTGAGGATGGCTTCTGAGGCTCTCACTCAGCCTGCAGCAGAAACCAGTCTATTCACTCAAAATTAGCTATTCCCCTTTTATCATGTGGAATTTCAGAAAGGAATCTGGGCTTTGCCAATGAAGATTTAACAGCTAGAGTGAAGGTAGTAGTGTTTATGAACATTAGTCACCATAACCTATGGAAGGTCTTTGTTATATTTTGGTGAAGCACTTTTAAAAATATATATATTTTTATTGATTTAAGAGAGGGAGAGAGAGAGAAACATCAATGTTGAGAAAGAATCAGTGATTGGCTGCTTCCTGCATGCCCCATACTGGGGATCAAGCTCGCAATCCGGGCATGTGCCTGACTGAAATCGAAACTGGACCCCCTGGTTCATAGGTCGATGCTCAACCACTGAGCCACATCATCTGGGCTGGGTGCAGCATTTTAAGGAGAACACTGGGAAAATGGAGGACCTGAGGGTCAAAAACTAGAATAGTGAGGAGTCTGGGAAAGATACCAGAAATAACCAAAGGAATCAGGATTCTCCAGTCTGGAGAGAGGAGAATACAGTGATATAGCTGACACCTCCAAATGTTTTATAGACTACCTGGTGGAAGAAGAATTAGATTTGTTCTTGGTAATTCCAGGCAGCAGAAGTAGGATCACTGATCGAAATTACACAGAAGCAGATTTATACTCAATATAAGAAGAGACTTTCTAACATTTCGAGATGTCCAAAAATGGAATAGACTAGCTAGCCCTCACTGGGAAGTGTTCACCCTGAGACCGTCTGACTTCAAGATTATATGACTTTATGGGGGTTGTATTTCAGCAGTAACACAATTTTATGATGAACCTTCTAAGAGCTCAGAGAATTTCCTACTAGCTAAAAACAGAGAATTTTTTCCCTAGCTTTTCCACCTTGATTTTAGAAAGGTGTATGCATACCAATTCCTGTTCCACATATTACTGGGTCCTGAGAAATACAGTTCAGTTGATGGGAAAGGCATATTAGTTAAAACAAATAAGCAAGGCTTTTGTTAGATAAGAACCGGAGCAGACCATTGTGTGATGTGTACAATGGTGTGTGTTTGCGTGCATTTTAACTCTTTCAGGTTGAGGTGGCTCTAGTTTTTGTTATTTTCATGTGGCTTACTGCTTTCATTACTCAGTAGTCCAGCCCTACAACAGGCCCTATAAGATTAAAAGAAATGGGCAGAAAATCATTCAAATTTGATGGTTTCAATTTTCTTTATATAGAAAGGGACAGGGCATTACATAAGAGAGAGATTAGCTAAAATGACTTTGTGTCCTAAACAGACTTCCTAAGGCCGTGGTTGGCAAATTGAGGCTCGCAAAGCACATGTGGCTCTTTGGCCCCTTTAGTGTGGCTCTCCCACAAAATACCAAGACCTGTACGAGTCTATTTTGAAAAAGTGGCGTTAGAAGAAGTTTAAGTTTTAAAAATTAGGCTCACAAAAGAAATTTCAATCTTTGTACTGTTGATATTTGGCTCTGTTGACTCATGAGTTTGCCGACCACTGTCCTAACTAGAATCCGAATGCTCCATCCCATGTCTAGCTCAGTCACTCACTGCTTCATCATTATGCCTCAGGTTTCTATTCCTCTAACGTGTACATCTTGTTCTAGCAGTTGTCTTCCCAGCTTTTAAACTTTATGACTCCAATTCTCTCGGTTTGCATAGAAAATTGAGAATGATCTCAATTATTGCAAAAACAATTCAGTCATTTATTTGTTCTTTAAATTACTTATTCATTTATTCAAAAATATTTATGAAATAAAGCACTATGTAGAAATGAGAAAACTTTGCTTCAGCATATGCAATTTGAAGGATGAAAGGAAAACAGCACATCAGGATCTATCATACTTAAAATGAATGTGAAGGACTCCATTTGTAGGGTATTTCAAAACAAATACAATAGCATTCCTCTGTACCCTGGCGTATTGTCTCTTTGATTTCAAACAGTAACATTTCCAAGCAGGCCTTGTTAAGGGTTCAACCACCGACCCCAAAAGCCTTTCCTGTGTGACTAATCTCAGCTGTTCCTTCTCCCCACAGATTCCAGCGGGGTGACTACCACATTGACGTCTGCATCAATGACTACCTGGATGTGTTCTGCCCTCACTACGAGGACTCGGTCCCGGAAGACAAGACCGAGCGCTACATCCTCTACATGGTGAACTTTGACGGCTACAGTGCCTGCGACCACACTTCCAAAGGCTTCAAGCGATGGGAATGTAACCGGCCTCACTCTCCGAATGGACCACTGAAGTTCTCCGAGAAATTCCAGCTCTTCACGCCCTTTTCTCTAGGATTTGAGTTCAGGCCAGGCCGGGAATATTTCTACATCTGTGAGTATATGCAGATTTATCATGTGGTGGGGCAGCTGGGGGATCCAGAGCAATTTTTTACCCACGTTCCAGAGAATTGCAGCGAGCTGGACTCTGCATCTCAGATGTCTCCTTGTAAATGCATACATCAGGGTCCCTGGATACATTAGCCAGGAATTGAGAGCACAAATTAGATTAAAGACACAGCGCCTCTCCCCCTATGAAATTGCATGTCAGCCTGTTCAGTGAACCATTGCTGACTTGTATTTCTTTTAAATGAAAATCGCTAGGACTTCTCCAAATCTGAGTTGGAGATGGTGGGGTTGGGGGGGGGGGGAGAAATTCCTGAAAAAAATTAACGGAAATAATTAAATTTACATAGCTTAGAGTCACTGGATTTCTTATTCAGGTGTCAGCAATATCCTTTCAATCATCCACATTTTCAGTGGAGAAAGCCAACCCTCCTGCAAATGTCAGTGTGCTGACGATAAATACTCTCTTTGCACCAAGGAGGAAAGACGGTTATTAAGAGCAGCTGTGTCTTTAAACAGGAAGGAGCATAAAGAAGGATCTAGAAAGGGTTCCAAGGGAACTGGTGTAAGTGTGTTTCCCACCTGTGAGCATTAAGTGACCCTGTCCTGGGAGAGCGCTAAAACCTACTCCGCAGACCTCGCTTAATCACATTGCCATGGCCTTCTATTTCTCTGTCATATCACCATCACTTCTTCAGGCATCATACTCCTCATAGATTCCAGACAGCCACTTCCGGAACCTCTGTGCATAAGTCACCTGAGATGGTGTTATAGTGCAGGTTTCTGCTCAGGGGGTCGTCCGAGATTCCGTGGGTCATCTGGTGAGGGCATGCTTCTGGCCCATGGAGTTAGCAAGGTTATAGGTCATATCTAATATCAGCAGCCTGCTGGGTCTCTATCTGAACTAATAACAGATTTTTAAGTGATCTGGCCTTTCCCACATGTTTTCTGAAGAAGTTTAAAAAAAAGTTTATTTGTTTAAAATGATATTTACTGAGCAGCACACCATGGCTCAGAAGTATTGGGGGATGCAAGCGGAACAGACACTCCCTGTCCTCAAGGGTGACTGTCTAGTGGGGAGCAGACTTGTCGGGAGGCAATGAAAGTATAAATACTAGTAGACAACTGCTGAATGAAGATGAAGGCAGGGATCGGTGGGACCCTGGAGGTTGTATCTCAGCTGCGTGAAGAATCAGGGTGTGCAGCTGCTCCTGGTGTGTAGCGATCCCAGCGATCCCACCCAGCGTGCTGAGCATAGATTTTTCAACCCGCTTGCCAGACCAGCAAGATGAAGAACATTCCTGTTCTAACTCATTTCTCCAATTCAAGCGTCTCCACTTTCTCCAAACCCACATGCTTTAAGTCTACAAGGATTTCCAGCTCCCCTTTTTCTCCAGAAATGTTATAAGCTGGATTTCCCCATCACAAGGGCACTCTCACTTACGTTGGAATTGAATTTAGAAAGGAAATTGAACAGTACCAGTGTTATTATTTCAGCACATATTTCAGCCCTTAGTCATGAGAAAACATGTGAGAGCCTTGATACTATCTCACCTTCCATCCATAAAATAAGGGTGGGGGTAAGGGGGAGAGATCAACCAAAGGACTTGTATGCATGCAACTAAGCATAACCAATGGACACAGACAACAGGGGGGTGAGGGCATGAGTGGGGGAGGAGCAATGGGGGGATAAGGACACATATATAATGCCTTAATCAATAAATAAAAAAATAAATTAAAAATAGAAAAGGAATGTTGAGTCCCGCGGATGGAGGAAACACTGTTGTACAGTGAGTTCCCTCGTTCTCAGGCAGCAGGCTCTTGCCGTTTGCCGATTTTTCACTTTGTGAAAGAATCTCATTCAGCTTGTGAGGAAAACGGAGGACTTTAGTTGTGGAACAGCAACTCATGAATTGGCCTAATTCTAGAGTATCAAACCAATACAGGAGGAAATTGTTGCATTTCCAAATTTTCATATTGGTTTCTCAGGTTAAAAAAAAAAACCATAGCTGAAACCGGTTTGGCTCAGTGGATAGAGCATCAGCCTGCAGACTAAAAGGTCCCGGTTCGATTCTGGTCAGGGGCATGTACCTTGGCTGCGGGCACATCCCTGGTAGGGGGTGTGCAGGAGGCAGCTGGTTGATGTTTCTTTCTCATTGACGTTTCTAGCTCTCTATCCCTCTCTCTCTCTGTGAAAAAACAATAATATATATATATATATATATATATATATATATATATATATAACATAAAAGCAAACTCCAAAAAGAGTAGAGCGCACTAAGATAGGAAACATACTCACCGTCTAACTAGCTGATTGCATGATTATTAGAAATTATAGAATCCATGGAGGTTCATAAGCAAGATGTTATTATTCAAATATACCCATAGTGCTTATGACTCGTTTTTCCTCATTTGTGGTTAAATTCAATATTTCACTAAAAACCATTACATGTCTTCTATAACATTCATTTAACGGAGTCATTTAACTGTCAGAGGTTCCTGTCAAAGTAATTGTTCCAAAATGCTTCAAAATATCAAGAGCTTTTTTGCTATACAACTGAGTTTAACCTGAATTACACTTTTTAATGAAAGGTAAAATAGCACAAAATTAGCATTGAGTAGATGTTCATTTACAGGAAGCATGGTGGCCTGGGTCAGTTAAATTGGATTTTTAACTGTCTTAGAACCACAAGAGCACCCTTCCCTGTCTTTTTAGTAGTGAAAGGGTTCCCTCTCATTCTTTTACTGCTGCGAGCCGAGTGGCAGAGCCGTGGGGATGTCTTACCGACGTTTAATATACTCTGGTCATAATTAAACTGAAGAAGCCTTAGGGGAGAATTGGCCCTCAGTTGAATTCTCCTCTCTCCTAATATGTGCGGGATGAACAATACGATTGGGAAATGGATCTTTTCACACTATGTCACAAGCAGCTCTATTGCTGATCCCAGGAACAGGCTGACCGCCCCCTGGTCGGTTTTATAAAATGTTCTTACCTGGCCAGGGGTGTATTTCAGCTCTTCACAGCCTTAAAATCTCTTCCGAGTTTTCCAAGAGAAAAAGGAAAGCTATTGCCTAAAGTGGGCAGCTTTGCTGTAGGATACTAAAGGGAGGGTTACATTGAGTGGTGACTGTGAACAGAGATTCATATGTAAACGTGAACTTGTGGGGAGGGAAGAGGAGTAGCCCATAACAGGTATCCACCTTATTGTTTGGAGAGGACACCCATTAGAGAGTTCTTATCGGGTTTGGCTTTACCCTCAACAAGATTTATTGCCTTCTTCATTTCGTTGAGGCATGCCAAATTAAGAAATACAGTCATTGAAAATATCTCATATGAAGTTTCCAATTTACTTAAGAATAAAATATTCTTTGCAATTCCAGAACCTTTATTTGTTCCAAGAATGACTCTATACTATGTCTTCCTTACCTTTGGAACAGGGAGTATATTAAGTTGTTATAATAAGGGATTATTGCTACGGCAGACTGAGCCCATTCTCGAATCTGACATATGTTTTTAATCAACAGGAGTTATTTTGGTAAGTGATTGGCATACCAAATTAGAGAAGGTCTGCGGTATTTCTATCAGTGGTAGATTTGCAGAACTGCCTGCGAATAGGTTATGGCAATAGAGACTTCCTAAGGCAAAGAACAATTTTAGTAATTTCAAAAGTACTCATTTTAGAAATGATTCTCATAAATATGAACAAATGAGACCAGGTTTGAAATAAGTTTTACTGTTACTGTTTTTAGATTTAGAAGAAGCAAAGGGAAAAAGAGGGCACAGTACGGTCTTGTAAATCAGTAGGAACACTGATCTAGAACAGTGGTCGGCAAACTCATTAGTCAACAGAGCCAAATATCAACAGAACGATTGAAATTTCTTTTGAGAGCCAATTTTTTAAAACAACTTCTTCTAATGCCACTTCTTCAAAATAGACTCACCTGGGTTATGGTATTTTGTGGAAGAGTCACACTCAAGAGGCCAAAGAGCCACATGTGGCTCGTGAGCCACAGTTTGCCGACCACTATGATGGAAAGTCCTCTTCTGTAAATAAGGCAACCTGAGTCCCAGGCCCTTCTCTTGACTTAACTGGTCATAGGATCTTGGGTTTTCAATCTCTCTGGGTTTCCAATTCCACATCGGTAAAATAACATGGTTGTAATAGATGACTGCAAACATCTCTTGAGCTTTAATATCCCAATGTTTCTCTATTTTACCAAAGGGTCTGCACAGCTAGGGTAAGAGAGAACATCTGTGAAATGGCCCAGCCTAATGCCTTTTCCTTACTTAGCGGGTGTTCAGTAAGTGCCAGTTAAAAGGGTAATTGGGGAAAACGCAGAGTGGAGAGGCCTCTTGGGTATTAGAATTATGTCCTGTTTAGACTACCCTTCCCAGTGGTCTCCACTAGTGCAGCGGATGCCTGTCTGGTTTCCTCACTGGATCACCACTGTCAAAGCCCTCCAGTGAGCGACTTCCTGCCTCACCAAGACAGGAACCAGCCTCTAACCTGGCCAGCATGGTCCTCCTTGGCAGGTCCTCCTCTCTTCCCCGCCTTTGGCCTTTGCTCTTCTCTTAGCACTCACTCTTCTCCCTGTTGTCGGCTCCAGTGCCTGCCCTCCTTCCTGTTCCGCATACCTGTCCATGCCCAGACGCAGGACCTCAGTACCTTCTCTCCTCTCTGCCAGGGATCTCATTGCCGCAGGCATCCGTGTCCTTGGCTCTCACTTTCTTAAGTCGACATAAAAAAAAAGAAAAAAAAGTATTAGGCTCTTCTGCCCTCCCTGTATAAAGGTAACACCTCTACCATGCTCTACACTTTTTCCTGCTTTATTTTTCCTCAGGCACTCATCACTCCTGGCATTAGATATTTTGCTCTATGCCCTACATTATAATGTTTGGCATGTAGTATATGTTTAATAAATGAAGATAGCTAGTGTTTACATAGCACTTATCAGGCACTGTTCTATGTACCCTACAATTTTCAA